AGGACAACATTCAGATCCGCTAACCAAAAGGTTAACTCGAGAGTCAGTAGAAATGTCGTCAAGAGGAATAGAGTTAAGGCCTTTAGTAAATGTTACCAAAACGGAAAACCCAACCTAGTTGACTAGAGATCCCAAGATCTAGGTTCAAAGGGACAACTTAACTGCGTATAACGGGTAAGTCACTGAATAGGTAAATCCTCTTGCCCATTTCTTTATACAGTGATACCTTGTAGGGGTGGAAGGTTAAGCTAATACTTTTAATAACCTAATTGAGATGAAGAATCAACCATGATATTACTAGATATCTTATGTAGGTCACTTATGTGAGTGCAAAGTAGGGCTGCTTCTTTAAGAATTGATAATGCCAAATTCTTTAAAAACACTCACTGAACCAAGCTAATATTCCAAGGCCATATCGGACACGCCAATGAGAACAAGAACAATGGTTGGAATTACTCCTATGTGAGGTCTATTGTCTTAATTTATACAAACTACAGAACAATTTAAGACATCACGTTCACTGGTCAGCTAGTAAATTCGATAGACTTTTACTACAAAAGGTTCAAGGCCAACAGCTACTTTTTTTGATGTAGAGTTAGTCTGTGTGCTCTCTCTCCGAGTCTTTATTGTTAAATGTTGTCTGTTATTTTTTATTCAGTTAATTTTTATTTATGTGGGGGATTGTTGGGAAAAAAATGATTTTTTTGGTTTGAGAATTGAATGAAAATTGTTTCATTATGTTGGCCTCATGAATGAGGTATTGAAAATGGTATATAACTACCTATTCTACATTGATTGAAAATGGTATATAACTACATATTCTACATTAATTGTTGAGGAATGCATGATGAGTATGAAAGCATATTATGCTAAGGATGAATGCTTGATGAGTATGAAAGCATTTCATGGTGTTTGATGAGTATGAAAGCATTCTGTGCTGTTTGATGAGTATGAATGCATTTTTCTAGAACTCCTATTAATAGGAGTTATGTTGGTTAGGAAAAGAGAAAAGGATAACCAACAAGAGAAATAAGGAAAAAAAATCCCTCCTCTCTCTCTCATTGCGTATAAAAGGAGACTTTCTTCCTTGGGTTTTTTGTACACAGAATTTTTGACTTTCATATTATACAGTTACTTTGCTCCTAGTATATTCTTCCTGTGTGAGAGAGTGTTGTCATTGTTTGTTCGCTGGAGCTAAACACAAGGTGCTTCTGTGTTAGCGGGTTTTAATACCTGTAGCACCCTCGGTGAGGTAGCGAATCTATTTTAAGGAGACTATAGTATTATAAAGGTTTCGGTTTGCTTCCTTATCTTATTTAAGCAAATTATTTTGATATATATATATATATATATATTATGTTCATCAAGTTGTAAATTCCAGCATGTTTTAGTCCATGATTATTTGTTCCATAATTTTATTCTAATTATATGAATCTTATTATAATTATTTAAATATGCAATTTGTACAACAGTTTCTTCCCTTTTAAATGGATTTTTTTCCCCTTTCTTTTCATCCCACTTGTCTCTCCCCTTCTTGTTAAAGCTTGAAACAGAACAACTAGAGATGTAGATAATGATGATTGTTTGAGTATGTTTGATAAAAATGGGTAATTCTGTAATGGTATTGGTGAGTATCGTTTGGGTTGGTGTGGGTTTGTAATGGTATTATTGAGAGAGCATATGAACTGCATAGGGATCGGGTGGGGCCGCTTCTAAATTTTTGAAAATTTGTTTTTACGTTTATATTTATGAGTATTTATAAAATACATAATTGGAGGATCCCTTATTTAATAAAAAATACCTTACTCTCTATTTCATTAGGATTTGATAATGTATAAGAAGATGATTTTCAATTGTTTCACATACTAGTTAATAGCATCAAATTCATTGAATTGATTTTTATTAATACAAGAGATAAATGTCAATTTTTTTAATTTTAAAAATCAAATGATATGTATACTTTTTATGAGTAATGGTAGATATCCCTAATTTTCACTTCTAAATTTACCTAAAAATTGATGTGAAAATAAGTTGAGTCTTAATTGATTGATTCCTGAATAAATCAACAACTGACCTGCAATAGTTCATGTTATTTGGGATAAATTTAAGAGTGTTAAGCATTTTTTACTTTTTATTTACCAAATATATCAACTAACAAAATGACTTAAAATAATAATCTTATTAATTATATAGTGTGATCTAATTAATAGTTCAAAAGTTAAAAAAAAAGACTTATTAAATTTTATTATTTTTTTCTTCATAAAATATTTCCTTCACAACACTTGCATAATAAATTATCTTCAATTGTATTATATCAAAACTAACTGAATATTTTTTATACACATTCTTTGGGCCCTCTAAATAAAATTTATGGTTCCGTCCCAATATATAGTTGATCAAAATAGCTTGAAAGAGATTGTCTAGAGCCCATATATATTCGTATATAAGTATTTTTATTTATATTCGTACACATTTTAATTTTTTATGCTTCAATTCTCGTATAAGAAATTAGCATAAAACTCGGCCACAAAGAAAATGCTTTTAAGATGGAAAATGCACTACTTCAGTTTGAACCGATAATGTAATGATTAAGCTTTTTTTTTTCAACTCAACCATGCAGTTATTAATTTTCAGTTTTACAATAATTATTTTATATTTAACATATAGGTTGATTGGGTAGATTTTAGGAAATGTTTTGATTCAATGTGTGCAAGGTTCTAGCATCACTAGGTAGTGTGCCACTAAGGGTGGCAATATGGTAAATAAACCGAACTCTCTAATTAGCTTATTTAATCTAATTTTTAATCATACCTAATCAATTTTCAGATAAATTTACCATAAAATCACATTAATTATGAGGGTTACGGAACATCAATCGGTTTCAGATTCGGCCGCCGATAAGGCCTTCAAATAACAGTTTAAACATATAAACATGAACAGATAATCAGACAATCAAACAGATAGAATGCAATTAACTAACATATACTCGGTCAAGTCAGTTTCCAATTTCAGTCAGTCAGTTCAGTACTTTAATCAGTTCAATTATCAGTCAGTTATCAGTCATCATTAGTTCCGTTTAGCAGTAATCGGTGATTATCGGTAATCAATCAGTCCTTAATCAGTAAACAGTACGAGGGTTGTTACAATTTTATTCTAATTATATGAATCTTATTATAATTATTTAAATATGCAATTTGTACAACAGTTTCTTCCCTTTTAAATGGATTTTTTTCCCCTTTCTTTTCATCCCACTTGTCTCTCCCCTTCTTGTTAAAGCTTGAAACAGAACAAGTAAGAGATGTAGATAATGATGATTGTTTGAGTATGTTTGATGAAAATGGGTAATTCTGTAATGGCATGCTTGATTGGGTGGATTAGAGTATGGGATTAGGATTATAAATCCGTGGGTCTAATTATCCTATGTTTGTTTTAACATTTTGGTTTAGGATTATTAATCCAATGGATAATTAATCCAACAAATTTGTAGGATTATTAGTAATGGGGTAGGGGTGGGATTTTAATCCAATAGATATTAATCCAATTGGATAGTGAATACCACACTAATTTAATAGAATTATTAATACTTCACTATTAATTTTGTGAATCAAACATGACCTAATGGTATTGGTGAGTATCGTTTGGGTTGGTGTGGGTTTGTAATGGTATTGAGAGAGCATATGAACTGCATAGGGATCGGGTGGGGCCGCTTCTAAATTTTTGAAAATTTATTTTTACGTTTATATTTATGAGTATTTATAAAATACATAATTGGAGGATCCCTTATTTAATAAAAAATACCTTACTCTCTATTTCATTAGGATTTGATAATGTATAAGAAGATGATTTTCAATTGTTTCACATACTAGTTAATAGCATCAAATTCATCGAATTGATTTTTATTAATACAAGAGATAAATGTCAATTTTTTTAATTTTAAAAATCAAATGATATGTATACTTTTTATGAGTAATGGTAGATATCCCTAATTTTCACTTCTAAATTTACCTAAAAATTGATGTGAAAATAAGTTGAGTCTTAATTGATTGATTCCTGAATAAATCAACAACTGACCTGCAATAGTTCATGTTATTTGGGATAAATTTAAGAGTGTTAAGCATTTTTTACTTTTTATTTACCAAATATATCAACTAACAAAATGACTTAAAATAATAATCTTATTAATTATATAGTGTGATCTAATTAATAGTTCAAAAGTTAAAAAAAAAGACTTATTAAATTTTATTATTTTTTTCTTCATAAAATATTTCCTTCACAACACTTGCATAATAAATTATCTTCAATTGTATTATATCAAAACTAACTGAATATTTTTTATACACATTCTTTGGGCCCTCTAAATAAAATTTATGGTTCCGTCCCAATATATCGTTGATCAAGATAGCTTGAAAGAGATTGTCCAGAGCCCATATATATTCGTATATAAGTATTTTTATTTATATTCGTACACATTTTAATTTTTTATGCTTCAATTCTTGTATAAGAAATTAGCATAAAACTCGGCCACAAAGAAAATGCTTTTAAGATGGAAAATGCACTACTTCAGTTTGAGCTGATAATATAATGATTAAGCTTTTTTTTTCTCCAACTCAACCATTATTAATTTTCAGTTTTATAATAATTATTTTATATTTAACATATGGGTTGGTTGGGTAGATTTTAGATTTTAATATTATTTTTAGAGTTGAACTTGAAATGAAACTTTAGCCTAAATTCAAACTAGGCTAGACTTCAAACTAACAATATTACATATGAAAAAAAAAAAATTTGTTTGTAAAAAAATGGTTTAAAGAATGGTCATTTGCAAACCATACGAAGAGGACCCTCCGCCTCTCTTTTATTGTGCTTATTCTTCATTTATTTATTTTATTAGCTGGGCAACATCATTTTCAAAAAAGGAACACTAAAAGTTGGACCTCTCACTTACTTGCACAATCTTTTGCTCACTAATTTAAGCACAGTTCTGGTTTTTTGGGTAACAGGCAGTGCTATTGAAATGCAGCTGTTGAGGAAATTAAGCGGCCAGGATGAAAAGATGCAAACACTCAGAAACAACTTTGAAGCGTTGGACAGCCGAGCAGTTGACGTAAAAGCAGAAGTAGAAGATGCAGAATTGCGAACAGGAAAGAAACGGAAACATGAAGTTGAAAATTGGCTGAGCAATGTAGAAAGGATGAGAAATGGAGTTCAAAACTTAGAACAAGAAGTACGAGAAAGGAAAATTTCTTTGCTCTTGTTGGGAAATCGTGTTGATAAATTGAATGTAGAAATTGCGCAACTCCGTGAGCAAGGTAGTTTTCAAGGGGGGCTTCTACTTGACGTGTGTGCGACCCGAGGAGAATCTCTGTTGTCAACAGAATTAACAGGCCAAACAGTACAGCAAAATCTGGAGAAAATTTGGGCATGCTTGATGGATGACTCTGAAGAATTACGCATTGGGATTTGGGGAATGGGGGGAGTCGGCAAAACATCTCAGGCTGTGAACATCCATAATAAACTTTTAGAAAACTCTGAAACTCGTGATCATGTCTTTTGGTGTACTGTATCAAAGGACCATGATTATAGCATTGGTAAGCTGCAGAGTGACATTGCTAAATGTTTGAAGTTAGATTTGTCGAATGAGAACGAAGAGAAGAAAAGGGCAGCAGAATTGTCGCAAGCATTTGCAAGAAGGGGGAAATGTGTTCTCTTTTTGGATGATGTGTGGGATAACATTGATCTACATAGGGTCGGAATTCCTAGTGGATGTAAGTTGATCCTCACTGCTCGCTCATTCGATATATGCCGCAAGATGGTTTGCAAAGGATTCAAAGTGGAACCTCTTTCTGAAGAAGAAGCTTGGAACTTATTTTGGGCGAAACTTTGTAATGGGCAAGACACGACACTTTCTCCAGAAGTAATAGATATTGCAAAGTCTGTGGCAGCTGAATGTGATGGTTTGCCACTCGGGATTATTACCATGGCTGGAAGCATGAGAGGGGTGGATGACATTCGTGAGTGGAGGAATGTGATTGAACAACTGAAGGAACCTACCATGGGGCATGAAGATATGGAAAAGGATGTATTACCGTTATTGAAACTTAGTTATAGTCGCTTGAATGGCACAAAATTGAAGGATTGTTTCTTGTATTGCGCCTTGTATCCTGAAGATTGGGACATACCAAGAAATGAATTAATTAGATATTTCATTGCTGAGGGACTGATTGACAGAAGTAAGAGTTTGATAAGACAGTTTGACGAGGGTCACACTATCTTGAATAAACTTGAAAGGTCCTGCTTATTGGAACCTTTTTTTTATGATCATGCATATGTGAAGATGCATGATTTGATTAGGGACATGGCACTAAAGATGACAGAAAATCGATTCATGGTAAAAGCTCGTCTTGGATTGATGGAAATTCCACATCTGCAGGAATGTGCCGGAAATCTGGAAAAGGTTTCCTTGATGTGTAATAACATACGAGAAATTCCATGCGGCTGGTCCATGAGGTGTCATAGTCTTTCGACATTGATTTTGAAAAACAATCTGTTGGTGAGCATTGCAGAATCATTCTTCAAGCATATGCATGCCCTACAGGTTCTTGATTTGTCCAATAATCATAGAATTCAAGTGTTGCCAAATTCCATATCAGACTTGGTGAACCTCACTGCATTGTTGCTTGCGGACTGTATTGTACTCACATTTGTGCCTCCACTAGGAAAGCTTAGAGCGTTAGAAGAATTGGACCTCCGTTGGACAATGATTAGGGAAGTACCTCAAGGTGTGGACATGCTGGTCAATCTAAGAAGTTTGAATATGGAAAACACATTTCGGCTAGAGAAGATACCAAGTGGGACATTAAGCCGACTCTCCCATCTCCAACTCCTTAGACTTGGACATACACCTGTAGAAATACAAGCAGCAGAGGAATTGGAGGGGTTGACGAAGCTGGAAGAACTTGATGTCCGTCTGGGCGATGTTCATTCTTTCAACCAAATCGTCAAATTTCTACAACACCGTGAGGTGCCGTTGGACAAGTATTTGCTTCAGCTTGGAGTCCCTCCTTTTGATGGTAAAATTTATAGCAAACTCATATCATGGAAGGGGGAAAACATTTCCAAGGGAGAAGATGTCAGTTTTCTGCCATACGATCTTGAGGCCTTAATTATTAGGGATCAATGGTTTAGTAGCGGCTGTTTTTGTGATGTTTTCCCGTCATTTTGGGATAATGCAAGACACCTGCAGTTTTGTAAAATTTTAAATTGCGGAGGGATAGAGAGCATCGTGTCCGGTTGCTCCTGCTTCACTTTCTCGTCTTCATCCCGCAATGAGGAGGAGATAGAAGTAGGTGATGATCAATTAGGAGAGTCCTGCAATGCCCCATTTCAAAGCGTTCAGAAATTGATTCTCTCTCGTTTGCCGGATCTCAGGGGCCTAATTGGGTGGGAGAAGTTGGCGGGGTCCAGGTTGGCGTTTGGAGTAATTGCACCTCATGGCACCTTTTCCAATCTTAGAAACTTGGAAATCTCGAATTGTCCCAAAATGAAGAGCGTGTTCACGCCTGGCTTGCAGCTGCCACACTTGGAACAGATAACGATCAGAAACTGCAATGAAATTGAGGAGATATTCGATGGTGCACGTACCACTCTGTCAGAGCTAAATAGATTGTGTCTTTCTTGTTCTCTATCTGAATTTGAGAGCATCTGCGAAGGAATGGAAACAAGCTTCTTCGGAAATAATTACGATATGCCTTTCATTCTTCCCAAATTGAAGAGATTGGAGCTTGATTCTCTGGCGAAATTGGAGAGCATCTGCGAAGGAATAATGGTTTGTGATTCCATTAAAGAAATTAATATAATAGAGTGCCCCAAGCTGAAGAGGCTCCCTTTGTTTTTGCCCATAGATAATAATGGACAACCGTCTGCTCCAATGACTCTTGAACAGATCAACGTCACTAGCAATGACATAGATTGGTGGGAATCACTAGAGTGGGACCCTCCCAATACCAAGGATGTGCTTCGACCCTTTTTGACGATAACGTGATATTTCAGGAACAATAATGTTTGGTGTCATGAAAATTTTTTTATGAAAATAATCATAAAAATTTTGTGATTTTTGAATTACACTTAAAATAAAGCATTACATATTAATCAAAGTAATCTAAAAATCATAAATTTTTCATAATCATTTTCATAATTTTTTTTTACCCTTTTTACGCTTTCACCCGTATCAGAGTTGGAAATTTTTTCATACGTTAGCGGGTTCTTCTTGTTGAGCTTTCTCTTTACTTATGATAGAGTTGCACTTTGACTTGATCCAATATTAGTTTAGATTTGGGCTGAAAAAGCAAATTTAAATTTGTCTTATTATTTTTTTATTTTTAAATAACTAAATCTGTATCATTGGATTAACTCAAAATGTATTTCCATCATTGCAAGTAGGGAGGTAAGAAGAGAGCCAAGGAGAGAATCTCAACTTGTGTTGCTCATGGGAGTTCGTCCTAAATATTTTTTTGATAATCTAGACTTTTTATATTATAGGATTCGTGAAGAATATTATTCATGTAAAAAATAAAGTTAATTGAATATTCATAATTTCATGATTAGGTCCTAATTACTTTTAAAAATTTATGAAAGTTATGTTAACTGTTAATTTTTTTATAAAATCAAATATTCTTTGGTTATAAAGATATATATATTCAATTAACTTGATTTTTTGTATGAATGATATATTCGACGAATCTTACCATATGAACAATTCAAATTATCGAAAAACACGACCTCTCACAAAGAGTACAACAGTATCCCCTTATCTAATCGAGAATACCTTGGTCTATACTTAAAAGTTGTTCTCTAGCTTAGACTTTGGCCCAGACTTATATTCAGACTCAAAATTTGACTTAGACTGATGTGGTAGGTTATTTATTAATTTTTAATTTGTTACACATTTAGAGGGCCTACTTACATGATGAATTTGTGGATATAAATACATAAATATTTAGCGTTATTAGGTGATGAAGTAAAATCCATTGGTAATATGCACATGTAAATCTCTCTTAATTTCCCTCCTCCACTAGTTGAGTGTCCGTATACTCTTTATTTTTGTTTTTTGTTTTCATTATGCGGAAAGTATTCTCTATTAATTCCACCCAATCTCTCTTTACGCTCCTACTCGTTATTTTTGTTTTTTGTTTTTTGTTTTCATTATGCGGAAAGCATTCTCCATTAATTCCACCCAATCTCTCTTTACATTCCAGCTTTGTTGTTGTTATTTTGTTTTTAAACCACACACAATTATGTTTGTCAATCACATTACTACCGAGTCTCTTCACTACAACAAATAGACTCCCACTACAAAAACAAAACAAAACAAAATAAAACAAGTAGAGACTAAAGTTTAGAGATAAAATCATTTTTAAAAATTAAATATTTTTATTACAAAAAATATCATTATGTTTTTAGCTATAAAATTATGTATTTAGGGGTTGTTTTGGGATGAACTAAATAAGTGTATTTTTTGTCTTTTTACGAAAAGATGTGCAGAAAAGTAGAGAGGTGATGTGATAGAAAAAAGATAAAACAATAAAAAGATAGATTATTTTTGAGTTGCCAAACTTGGCTTTAGTAACGAAGTATTATACTTTTAGGACTAAATTTTTTGTTTAAAAAAATAGACCTTTATGAGACCAAGTTATTTTTTCCCTAGAAGTGCATTTATTAGTGACATTTTAAAAATTATCTTTAAAAACTTTTTTTTTTTTTTTAACTTTTCAAGATGAGGTTTTAGCGACTATTCTCGAGACAATAGAAATTGGTCCTCAAATATTTTTTGCAACAAAAATTTCACTTTTGGGATAAAAAAAGCTTGGCCTCTTAAACTCTTATATATTGTAATGCTTGCTCATAATGTTTCTTGCTAGGGAATTAGTTTTGTAGTGATTTTTTTAAATTTTTTTTTTTTTTTACAAGGTGAAAAAAAATTAATGTGTTTGGGTACAACTTTTTTTAGTTGTATCGAAAACCTTGAATTATTGAGATTTTTTACTTTTTAACTTATTTGGTGATTTTTTGGGTTTTTTTTGGAAATCATAGCTACCTGACTTTTACATTATGTTCGGATATTTGATTTCATGTGAAAACGTAACTAAAATGAAAATCAAATGGAATTATTTGTAAGCATATTTTATTTTTATTTATATAAAAAAGGGAGAGTTACCAATAAATCTTATATATTCAAAATATGTTCTAATTAGTCCCATATTATTTTATGTGTTCCATTTAGTCCCATTTGATGTGTAAAGACGAGACAACCACTGGTTTAGACGTGTTTGTTTGGGTGTAACGTTTAGGAGAAGTTTACTAATACGTTTTTGGGGGTCTGTTTGGGTGTGACGTAAGCAAGAAGTTTAGTAATACTTTTTGGTGGGGTATGTAATGTGCAACGTTTGGATGTCACCTGTTTGGGATTTGTGTCAACACACGTGTGTTTGTGTTTATGTGCCGATTTGTTTAACCAGCACATTATTCATTTTGTTTGGCATGTGGTGGGGTGTGACAGATGTGAATGCAAAAGTGTGACATCATGGCACACGTGTGGGACCATTAGGTTATGTTCTAGAAATTAGTAATTTGAAACTCTGATAAGCGTGATTTTTGGGATGCGATGAAGCCATGTGATTTGGGGGAAATCTTGTCACCCAATTTGAAAGCCTATGGTAGTATTTTCAGATTCGTGTTGGTGTGGTTGTGTGGCGTCATATACAACATTGAAACCCTAACAAGTACTCTGTGACATTTGGATCAGCGGTGGAGTTGTCGACGTGGTCGCGTAGGTGTCTGGCATTGAAGGTTTTGCAGGTGCCGTTATTCAACTGTGTATCTACTACATCAATGGGGCCCAAACGTAAGTAACGACATCCCTATTTTGTTATTTCATTTGTGTAGTGGGTTGTTAGGGTTTATGGAACATTATCAAACTGGGATTTTTGCTTTACCGATGTGTCGTATGGCTGTTTTTGTGTTTGTGAAAAATGTTGGAATGTGCGTAATTGTGTGTCAGATTGGACTAATTTATGAGCCGATGCATTTCTTGCCGATGTAATATGAATAGAACAGTTTGGACTCCTCCCAACGTCATCAGTATGGTAATGTGGGTGTACAAATCGAGTGTTTGTGTGTTGTTGAGAGGGTTAGTGTGACATGTAGTGATAGGTTTGGGACGTCGGATCTGGGCGAATGTGGGTTTGCATAATGTGGTGATTGTTGTTTGTGCATCAAAGTTTGTTGGGTGTGTGTGATGACCCAACCCGTATTATGCTTAATTATATATGTGATTATGTGTTTGATATGAATTTGCATGTTTAAGTATGGGAAATATGTGAATTTGGAAAAATATCTATTGAAAGTAGGAATATGTGTTGTAATTAGAACTTTGAACTGAAATTGGGAGCCGTAGAGGCGCGATAAACAAAAAACAATTTCATATCTATGATTAGCATGATTTTTAGAGCGTTTGGTGAGATTTTGAAAAATTACGATTCGTAATGATTAAATTGGAATTTTTTTTTTAAAAATAAAGCGAAGTCACATATATGTTGGCCTCTTGTGTTCCTTTTTGTGCTTGAAAGCTCTATAGTGTGAGTTAGAGAGAAAGGAAGAAGATGAAGCTAGGGATTTGAAGGAAATCAAGAGGCAAACCATAGATTTGAACCAAGGTATAGAAAATCACTCACAAACTTTGATTCTAACTCATCTTTGTCAAGAAATCAAGAAGAGATTGGGGGTTTGAACTAGGGTTTTGAATTGTATAGTAGTTTCAGCTTAAGACATGAGATTGAACCCTAATCTCTCCATCTTTGTTGATTTAAGTCCACTCTTGTGATTGACCCATGAAACAAACCTTAGATGATCTATGGAAACAAGTTTTGTTGTAAGATTATTCATGGTTTATATACTTTGAATTTGTTTATGTAATGTGTGGATATGGGAAAGAGATAAGACCATGGAATTGTTGTTGATGCAAGATTAGAATGTTTAATGTAGAATTTCACTTGTATCATGATTAGATGTCATGCTTTTGAGTTGTTTTTGCATGAATTTGAGCTTGGAAATGGGTTGGTTAGTTTGGTTTTTTTGGCCATTTTCGGACTGTCTGAGTTTGTCCAGACCGCACGAGCGGCCACGGGCACCGTACGAGCGGAACATGAAAAAAAAAAAAAGTTTTGGTTCTGCTCCTTGGGCGCTCGAGCGGCCGATTTTTCTGCTCGAGCGGATTTGGGCCGCACGAGTGGTGGGGATTTCCGTTCGAGCGGAACCCCTGTTTCAGCCCAACTTCAAAAAGGCATATATCCATCATCCGGACTGCATTTTAAGCGATTCTTGAGCATAAATTCAAGCCCTCGAAGTCTAGTTTCTAACGGTGGTGGTCTCACACCCAAATTCTATGTACACAAATAGATATACTCAAATGAGTGAAGGCTATTTATTTTCTTTTAACCGTTTCATGCCAATTCTTATCCTAACTTGGTTTCCTTTCACTTCTTGCTATTTCCTTAAATCTTAAATAAGGAAACATGATATGTTCAATGAAAAACATACGAAATTATTGTAAGAAACATTAATGTAAGTCATGAACATTTAGGGCCGTTTAAGGCACATCTTTGGAACACGCATTGTACGTGGTCCACATGTAGAAAAGTTTCGCATTGAACACTTGAGAGAAATTAAAGAAAAGTGTACGAATTGAAACAAATGATTTATCGGAGGTGTATGTGACATGTTTTGTGTAGGTCGAGTGCCGAGTAGTAATATTGTACACTTATATTCTCTGTTGCGTATCTTGAACTATGAACGATGATTGATGCCAACATTATGAATTGATTGGAAATAATGAACCTTCATTGATATTATATGACATGTGCTAAATGATTGGGCCCGAGGCCGCTTGATAAATAATTGGGCCCGATGTCGCTTGTTAAATGATTGGGCCTGAGGCCGCTTGTTAAATGATTGGGCCCGAGGCCGCTTGTTATATGATTGGGCCCGAGGCCGCTTGACATATGATTGGACCTAAGGCCGTTTGGCTTATATGATTATGGATATTGAGAGAACCTTATGATCATCTACTTACACTGTTTTACTGCATTATTACTCATTGAGCTACGCTCACCCAATTTTATGTATGCACATGTAGGGGATCAGCAGCATGGAGCACAACCCTAGAGTCAGCTTCAGGAGCCTTTTGTGACCCAATCGAGCCATGCCTCCGAGATGGAGTTTTGTCTTGACTCATACCACACTTTGACTCTATTATGTTTTTGCTTTCATGGTCTTAGGTTGTAAACATTG